GATAGCGAGCACGGGCAGAGGCACGTGCGCGCGGGGCCCGCGCGTCGGTGGCGGTGGCGGAAATATCCCGAAGATTTGACCCCGGGGAAGGGCAGGGGCTGGCGCGGGCCCCGCGGGCGTATCGCCGCAGAGCCGTGGGATGCCAGCCACTTGTGGGCGGGCCCGGGTGCCCGCGCCGCGGCACGGGATAACGGGCGCGGCGTCAAAGGGTTGGTCGGCGCCTTCCGTTCCTTTTTTAACTGCGGGCCGCGCGCGCGCCCGTGCCGGGCTGGGTTGGGTTTGGGCCCGGGTCACGGAGGGAGATTCCATTCCGCTCCACCGTTGTTTCTGCGAGCGGATGGGGGCCGTACGTACGTACGGTGCGGACGGTAGCGGCCGTGCCTCCGTGTACCGGAACAAAAGTGCGGGGACGCGAGGATAAAAAAACTACTGCTACGAGGAGGCATTGCGGGGTGGGATTTTGTTGCCTGGCGCTGTAAACCTGGCATGTTTTTGGCAACTGTGGACGCCTGGCTTCGGTTGGTTGGTTGGTGCGATTCGGGTCACAAGGGGCCGGCCAATGGGACGGCCGTGATTGCCGGTTCAAACGGGTTTTTAAATGTTGCTTATCTTTTGCTCCTAGTAGTTTGCCAGTATGAACATTTCTCTTGCCCCACCGTTATAAAAACAGAGGACGATTTCGACTTTACTACGAGGAACTCTGACGGTTTTGTATTTTTATACTGACAGAACTCTAGCGATTGATGTTCGTATAAGTACAAACGTATATATAAGTATGAATGGCGTGACGCTGTGTTTTTTTGTTGACGAATTATTGTGCACGGTTTTACCTAGCAAATCAAAATAGTTCATTGATAATTTGCGGGGATATGGAAGCATGTGCGATGTCATGCATTCAGGAGCGATAGCGGTGCTATTATTGCTCGCATTTGTATCCTTACTTGAAATATGTCAACAAGATTCGTCTTCTTTTGTGTGACATCAAACCTTATCGTGCACTCCGGCATCTTTTGACGCGGTTCCTACTATCCATCCACGTAGTAAGATTAAAAAGGTGTATTAACCTTCCCGCAAAAAAAAGGTGTATTAACCAATTAGTGTGACGAAAAAAGCAATCATATATGATGGGGAAAATAGTGATCTCTTTCCTGTGACTGGTCATCGCTTTGTATGTTTACATCGCTAGTTTCATCCCGGTCCAGCTCTTAGTTAGTCAAGATCTTCATGCCAATAGCACAATGGGTTATATACAAACGCCCTGAAGATCCTTGGCGCTGCCTTCACCCCCTTTATCTTTGTTTTATTAGTTTGCTTCACAATATCATGTCTGCTTTTAGGTTTACATCAACATCACCATGCATTCCCTCTCTTAATCCCCATTTAGTTCTTATTCTATATTATTTTGTCTCACAAAAGCTCCATAATTGTGTTTTTTCGATCTGGTGTCCCTGCACACTTGAAAGCATGCGAACAACATAAGACATCATGGAATTCTCACACTTTATGCGTCTTTTTGCACTGTATTTTTGGGTTTGTAGTGCAATGCATAGCACGGGTATGTCTATGTGTGGACATAGCAATGGGCTTTTTCACCCAGTCTATGATGGTCTTTACGGTGGACTAGACCAAATTAAATAAAAAGCCAACGGTACAACATGAGGTGTAGGGAGAGAGGTGAGAAAAATAACTAAGAGAAGGAAAATTGCAATCTTTTTAGAAGGTGAAACGACACGGTACTCCAATCCATGAGGGGGGCTTCTTCTGATAGTAGGGATATTTGACAAACATAGAGAAGTTTGACTATGTGCTTTGTGTGATATCATGCATTTAGGCGTGATAGTGGTATGATAATTGCTCGCATTTTTATCATTGGTTGCAATATCTAGGCATGTCAAACAGTAAAGCAGTTCATCTTCTCTTATGTGTACCACATCATCTAGCGAAGACCACAAAATTTATCATACACTTGGACATCTTTTGACGTGATTCCTACTATTAATGCACATATTTTACATTAAAAAGGTGCATGAACCAATTATGTGTGACAAAAAAAAGAAATGATATACGATGAGGAAAAATAATAACTCTTTCTTGTGACTAATCATCCTTTTACAAAAGAGAAGATAACATGTTCTTTTGTTACCTCAAAGTGAAAACAAAAACAAAGTGTCACCTTTAAGAACATATTTGCACCACTTGTTTCATCCCGCTTAAGTTTCTACTTGGTCAAGATCTTCATGGCGATGGTTGATGTCTACTACATAACTTGTTCTTGTAGAACCGTGTTGGGCCTCCAAGCACAGAGTTTTGTACGACGGTAGCAAATTTTCCTCAAGTGGATAACATAAGGTTTATCAATCCGTGGGAGACGTAGGATGAAGATGGTCTCTCTCAAACAACCATGCAACCAAATAACAATGAGTCTCTTGTGTCCCCAACACACCAAATACAATGGTAAATTGTATAGGTGCACTGGTTCGGCGAAGAGATGGTTTTACAAGTGTAGTAATGATAGTAAATATTGATTTTTGTAATAGGAACAATAAAAACATCAAGGTAGCAAGTAACAAAATTTAGCACAAATGGTATTGCAATGCTTGAAAATGAGGCCTAGGGTTCATACTTTCACTAGTGCAATCTCTCAACAATGCAAATATAATTGGATCATATAACCTTCCCTCAATGTGTGATAAAAGAACCACTCCAAAGTTCTGATCTAGCGGAACATAAGACTAAATTGTTTGTAGGGTTCCTCAAAGTTATCCTCCCCGATCGATCTATCGAGCTATTCCGATAAGTGTCACAAACAGCCAAAGAGTTTGTACTAAAATAACATTGTATGCCACTACTGCAGGATGCTGCTAACACTACACTACGATCAGAGACCCTTTTACGAGGCTGTGTGTGATGCATCGCAAACGGTGATGTAAAAAAACCGCCCAAAAAGATGCAAAATGTTTGTGATGGCCGAGCCATCAAACACGGTTCTGATTTTAGTTCTGTGTGCGATGCAGGGCATACGGTTCAGTTAACGTAACTATTTGCGATGAGGAATAAGAACAAAAATGGACAGCCAGATGAAGGCATGTGCGATATACGGCATACAGTTCACTCGGATTAACTGTTTGTGATGAGGCGGAACAAAAGAAATGGGTAGCTAGATAAAGGTGTGTGCGATTGAGGGCATACGCTTCAGAAGGATTAACTGTTTGTGATTAGGCAACAGAACAGAAATGGTCAGCCAGATCAAAGTGTCTGTGATTGATGGCATACACTTCACACGGATGAACTGTTTGTGATTAGCCACAACAAACAGAAATAGTTAGACAGATCAACGTGTGTGCATTAGACGAGCACACATTCTAATAAAAAGAAGTGTGTCTGATGGCAATAACGAGCACGCATGTTTGTTGGAACAAGATGTGTGCTGATATTGCCTATTGTGGTGAACCCTATGGTGCAAAAGCCACGTACGCGGCCAAGAAAGCGTGCCCACGTTACGCCATCTGGGAATAGTGCTGCACTTAGAAATTATAGAACTATCAATAAATTTTGAGCCTGCATCCCTTCACATTCCAAATTACTACCACGCTATATTTAATTGCAAACCTGTTCACACCGATCAAAACCTAAATGTTTTCCCACTTAGGAGTGTATTAGTACTCGGTTATAAATACTAATACTCCAAGATGACTGCACATTCCACCTCAACTCCTCATCCACAAAACAAACAAGTCATTTATCATCGTTCCCTTGTGTCTGCCATGACCAGCGTGAGTTCTGGGTCGAGAGATTGCCACCAGGGATAGGCGAGCATAATAACCATGAAACTTGTCAAAATCGTATTTGGTGTGTTGTTTTTATTGTTCTGATTACAAAAATCAATATCTACTATCATTACTATGCTTGTATCACCATCTCTTCACCGAACTAGCGCACCTATACAAATTACCATTGTATTTGGTGTGTTGGGGACACAAGAGACTTTTTATTATTTGCTTGCAGGGTTGTTTGAGAGAGACCATCTTCATCCTACGCCTCCCAGGATTGATAAACCTTAGGTCATCCACTTGAGGGAAATTTGCTACTGTCCTACAAAACTCTGCGCTTGGAGGCCCAACATGAGTCTACAAGAACAAGCTGTGTAGTAGACACCATGTTTCCGGGGAGACATCATCAACATCTACCAGGTTCCTAATCACAAATCTCATCTCATCACTATTTACACTATTTTCCATTTGCCTCTCGTTTTCATCTCCCCCACTTCAAAAAAATGGTTGTTTTATTCGCCCTCTTTTTTGCTCGCCGTTTTCTCGTTAGATCTGTTTTTAGTGCAATCTTGTTGCGTAGTCACGATGACTCAAGAGAACACCAAGTTGTGTGATTTCTCTAACACCAACAACAATGATTTTATTAGCACTCCGGTTGCTCCTCCCGCCACTAGTGTGGAGTCTTGTGATATTAATGTCGCTTTGCTGAATGTTGTTATGAAAGATCAATTTTCTGGTACTCCTAGTGAGTACGTCGCGTCTCATCTTAACACATTCATGGAATTATGGGATATGCAGAAGAAAAAAGATGTGGACAATGATATTGTGAAGTTGGAATTGTTCCCGTTTTCT